TTTTAGTCTTTGTCCCCTGTGTGCTGTTTAATTTTTCCATGTCTTGTCCTCCTTAATTGTTGTCAGCTGTTTTCCCACCTATTGGCCATCTGCTTGTTGTCCTATGACTCTATTTATTCACTCTGTCTCCAACTGTTCATTGTGGTTTTGTACTGTTTGTCAGTCCTTGTGTTACTCCATGCTATTTTTTGGATTATTGAACTTAAGTTTCCTACAGCAATATCTGTTTGCTGCCACAACTACAATATAAGTTAGTTTCAGTTAAGTTAATGGTTTTCCTTGTCTGCATCTGGGTCTACGCCACAACCTTACACACCATTTGCCCTTCTAGTGAATCTGCTAGAATGTCCACACATTGCAAAGCTTGGCAATGGTTTCCCACAATACAGTGAATGAACAGAATAAAATGATTGACAATGAATGTTCCAGACCAGCAATCTGAAAAAATTGTTCTGCCTTGATAGGTGTTCACATTTACTTATAATCAGTTAATCACATGTATTTAATTAGCAGCATCTGGCTGTTACTTACTATCTTAACTCCTATTGAAGCAGTAAGGGTGTACTTAGATTCTCACAGGACTGCTTCTGCATTTTTGTTAAATAATGACATGGTATAATAATGTATGTCACGTATTGTTGCCTACCTGATGTTTACATTATATTCTGATATGTAGTCTTATAAGGGTTATGTTGACAGAAGTTATACTTTTGTTTAATTGACCATAATGTTGTTCAGGCTGGAGCGTTATTTCCTGTATATTTCAGTACTTTGACACAACAAGGGAAAAGTGTTAAGATTACAATCAAAGTGGAAACAGTATTAGAATAAATGTTTTTATAAACCTCTAAGTGTGGTAGGAGAGAGTTCAACAAGGGGACAGAGACATTAATTTTTTGTGTTTCAGATTTTTCCATAATTCTTCGATCTGGTAAGTAAAGCATATTCTGTTATTCTTTCTTATGTGATCTATGCTATTAACGTGTAGATTTTTAAAAGTCTTTGTGATAACCATTCGTTCTTCTGGTAGATTATGCGTTGAAATGGAGAGAGCCGTTACCTGGAATACAATGGGGACCCTGAAACAGGACGCAATTATAAGACCTTGACTTTACATTATTGAAGCATTAATGCATTTGTTTTTTTATTTACTATCGATTGATTTGCACACTGATATTGTTTCGCTGACTTGTTGAATGGACATTATATGGCTCACTACTTGAATGCAAACACAAGGCTGTGTTTGTATATTATTTCAGTGCAAACTGTGTTTTGAATTTATCTTTGTACTATGGATTCATAACTGTGTAGACTCGCAAATTATCATGGTTAGCGCTGGCCAACCGTGGGGATGTGAGGAAGAAGGACCCAAATGCTGGACTCTTTATGATAAACAGTGCATTTATTTACAGTGGTGTAAATAATCCACAGAATAATAAGTCCCCGTGTGTTCCCTTGACTCCCTTGTCGTGTCCGCCCACAAGTCCGTGCTCCATGCTCTTCCACTCCTGTGTGTCCCGGCACCCCGTGCTCACTGCTCTTGTCTTCCACGCTCCTTCCTGGATAAAATAACAAAGAAGCAACCATCAGGACACTTAAACACTTAACCACTGTGGGTATGCACTCACTTGGCTCACAAAGACCACTGACGTGGTCACTCACACAACAATCCCACGCCGAGGAGCGCTCGGCCATACTCTTAAGTAGCTCCCCGACGAGGCTTCATTAGCTGCAGGTGTGTGTGATCACCCGCTTCAGGCATGGCCAGCCTCCAGATGGTAAATGGCCTGTATTTGTACAGCTTTTCTAGTCGCTAAGGACCCCAAAGCGCTTTATACAACCAGTCATCCACCCATTCACACACTGGTGATGGCAGCTACATTGTAGCACCAGCCACACTGGGGCGCACTGACAGAGGCGAGGTTGCCGGACACTGGGTTTATAGCTGTCCTTTCTTCAAAGCTTGATTTGTTTAAAAAAAAAAAAGTTTTCATCCTAAGTCTAAGAGATGGCAGCAGGGACTCTGTAAATCTTTTGGCTGCTCCCTTTAGGGCTCACAGCAGATTTTTGTCAGTGCGACTTGTCATACAGTCCCGATCAAAAGTTTAAAGACCAGTTGAAAAATGGCAAAAA